CAGCAGGAAAGAAGCTATGCAGCAGTTCTGTTGTAGCACTCTATTTTTCATTATAACCATGGGCCTTAATAGTGGAAATGCAGACAGAATTATGGAAGATATTAGTTTTAACCTGTCTTCCTTTCCTCGTCGTGAATCAGTTGCAGAAGGGATCCGCCAGACAAAAGGGGCTGTTGCTCAGTGGTATTGGTACATAATCTGCTCTGCATGCAGAAGGTCCCTGGTTCGATCCCTGGCATCTCCATTTGAACAGTTCAGGTAGGAGGTGATACACCAGTTTGGTGTAGTGGTTAAGTGCGTGGACTCTAATCTGGGAGAACTGGGTTTGATTCCCCACTCCTCCACATGCACCTGGCTGGATGACCTTGGGCAAGACATAGTTCTGATAAGAGCTGTTCTTGAAAAAGAGCAGTTTCTGTCAAGAGCTCTCTCAGCCCCACCTACATCACAAGGTGTCTGTTGTGGAGAGGGGAAGGGAAAGGAGTTTGTAAGACACCTTTGGGTAGTGAAGGGTGGGGTATAAATCCAATCTCTTCTTCTTCATATGAAAGACCTCTTCTTGAGACCCTAGAGAGCCTCTGCCAGTCAGAGAGTAGACAATCCTGACCTTGATGGACTAATGGGTTGAGTTGGTATAAGGCAGCTTCAAGTGTAGCTGGTGTTGGGTAAGTCTTTTCCCATCTTGGCCGCCATTTTGTTGCTTCACAAGGAGAGTTTATTCGGGAGTGCTTTTTTTAAAGTAGAGGGGCAGTGTGCACATAAATTCTTGCTTGTCAGGTCCCAAAGGTTACGTTACCACCTTCTCCAACATTCTGAAATACGAACCTAACAGTAGGTTTCCAGAGCCTTTGTTTTTGGACAGAAACATTGCTTTAGGCCAAACGTATGACGTAAAATGTGATGCTTTGGAACAGTGAAGATGGGGAAGATCTGGAATGCTATTCTCTCTCTCTCTCTTTTAAAGTAATCTAACCAGATCTCAAGGAAATAACAACAATAAATAAAAAGTTTTGAGCTGGAAACAGACTATGGCATTAGCAGGCTTGAACGAGTTTCTGACTGAAGCGAAATAGAAGAGCTGCATCAGTGAGCATTTTCAGAGGATGCCGAAAGTGCCAGGAAAGTAGGGCGAGGATTGTGACCCCCGCCTGCTGCCTAATGAGTTCTATTTATAGAGCATACAGATATTACTGCAGCTGAGCCAATGGTGAATCGTGCCTTTTAATGGGGGTGGCTGGTTACACATTTTCAATGCCGATAGAGTCGCATTGCTCTTATGAATGAAAGGTATCGATTAGCTCATATTAAGAGCAAATTTCAAGGTCAGATTATGGGTAGGGACCACAAAGCCTTGATCCAAATGTATTATCTTGGTGCTTTCATATACGCAACCTTGATCCTGTGAATCCTGATTGCTGGAAGGAATTCCCACTGGATTTACTCCCAATTTACTGTACATAGGA